CACTGGTCAGCCATTCTCCTCTAGAACTAGGCCACTTGCCCAGGAATCCGTCACTGGAACGGGGCACGAGCTCTCGCTGTCAGGTCACGTGTACCCATTTTGAATCCTTATCCCTTTACTAGGGTCTCGGAAGGTAGAGTACAATCCACTTTTCTGGGACCCACCGGCATCTGTGCGTTCCCATTATTTCCCTTTTATCCCATTGTCTCTTCCCCCGGCTCAGGAGAGCCTTTCCTAGGCTGAGATGTGTTGGTGAAGTTGGTGACATGAGGCGAGGCTCACTACCTTCTATTCATCCCGCACGCTGGCTAAACCAAGGGACTCCCCAGGGCCCAGATGGCGTCGTCTCTGGAAACTTCACAGCCAGCAAAGGACTCCTTTCCTTGCGTTGCACTCTGCCCTGTACCCCCTTCAGTGGTAACGAGTGTTTGTAGGAGAGTCTGGCTTCCTGAACTCGTGATGGAGGAAGGGGGAGGAAAGCGAGGAACCACTGGAGTGAAATGTTAGCATTTCCAGAATGTCGCGCCTCCAGCCACACTACCGCTTCAAGTTTTTCCCTCGGTAGGTGCTTCTGGTCTTGTCTTTGGTCCCCAGGCAGCTTTGTAGGACAGGCATTGGGGAGGCGAATGAATGAAGGTAGAGAGTCGGATGGTGTCTCTGAGTGAAGATTGGGGGGCCGAGGTTGAGTCGAAACCACATCCTGGCGTGTCTTTCTCCTTCCTGTCTCAGTGAGAGCAGAGCGCACGAAGGAAGGGATTCGTTTACGAGGGAGAGAGTCCCAGCCCCCCATTCTACCACCATGGTTTATTCTTCATCTGTGTTTTAATCCCCCGAGGTGAAGAGGAACAATATAAAAAAAACAGTGGTTTGGGGTATAGGACATGGTAATTATGTGAGAAGCAGATCATTAGAGAAGCAGGAAGGAAAATGTCGTTGGCGCTCCAGGGAAGAGGTGTCTCGTATAAATCTGACCGACCAGCAAGGTCTACGAAGAATGAGGCCAACAGTCTCGATCCCATGTTTCCTTTCTCCTACCATCACTAAGTTCAGGCTACTGCAAATAAGTGTGAACGTCAGTATGTCCTCTGTGAAGAGAACGGTCAGTTTTCTGTTTGCAGCTCTGTCCAAGCCTCCTTTCTAGGGGACCATGGGACTCAGGATCAGAACAACATGGCAACCAAGTCTGAGAAGCTTGGGCACGAATCAGAGCTCGTCGCGTGAGGGCGTCTGTCTGCTTTGCCTGGCGGTGCCCGGTTTTGCTCTGGAAGGTCTGTCGTGTTTGTGGTCAGACTGGCTTCTGTTCTCTCGATGAATGAAGGTAGTTAGGAGGGAGCCGACGGGCGCGGGGGCAGATGAGCGTGTGTGGCCAGGCTGCATCCCATCATCGTAGCAATCCCAATCCGGACAAATGGTCTAATGTACGTCTTGAGTTACTTTGTTCTAGAAAACAAGATAAATGCTTCTTTGTTTACATTACTGCTCCCAACTTCATAACGACCCATTGAGGTCACCACTGGACCGATGAGGAGATAGGTTTGAGAGCTTCTAAGGAACATTTCCAAAAGTCACGATCCGTACATTTCCAGTGAGTGTCCACAGCGAAAGAAGGATCCCTGGTCACTCCAAAGGCCACCGGTGTGAGAGGGGGTAAGGACCCACCAGTTACCCTCAGAGGCTGGCCCGCGCTGCTCATCACAGCGGCGGAAGTGTGGAGTGTTAACTACCAGAGCTGGAAGATGACGCTGGCTCATTTCAGTATTAATATAGAATAGTGCTGGAAAGTGACATTTTGTTCTACCCTTCCCATACTCCTATTAAGTCAGTCCTGGAAAAGGACCACACGTCTCCCTAGGGGGCAGGGTCTCACAGGTCCTCAGGACCCCCTGATCAGCCCCCAGTAGTGGAGTGGGCGAGATGGGAGCTCCATTCCGAGGGCTCGCTTTTTATTTATCATTTATCATGTCTTGCATTCCTTTAGGTTTTGGGCGAAAAGTCTTTGTGCCTCATTCAGCCTCTGTGTAAGTGCATGTGTGTGTGTGATTTTTTTTTATCAGAATGTGGAAGAACTTTTATGATCTAAACCATGAAATAGTCAGTCTTTCTTCTCTTACCTACATGGGTATATGACTCTGTGTGTGTGTGTGTGTGTGTGTGTGTGTTTTTATCAGAATGTGCAAGAACTTTTATGATCTAAACCATGAAATAGTCAGTCTTTCTTCTCTTACCTACATGGGTATATGACTGTGTGTGTGTGTGTGTGTGTGTGTGTGCGCGCGCGCATCTTAGTTGGAATGGAGAGTGCTTGAGAAGGACAGTGGGGGACCCTGTGCACGTGACAAGGTACGAGGAGAGCACCCTGTGCTGGAAAGAAAGGGTATGAGGATTACTAGGCAGTGGGTCCGAATCGCTTGAAAATCCGTGGCAGGTTCAGAGGAGAAAGTGTGCGGATTTTTTTTAACTGACTGAACCCCCAAATTTCTTAAAATCAGAAATTTTGAATTTTCACACTGCCATAGATTGTTTCATGCCTCGACAAGTCACAAGATGGTCTCACCAAAAGGAGTCAAAAAAAAAAAAAAGGTAAAAACAAATAAACCTCGTTATGCCATGTTTAAGGAATAAAAATAATAGACTTTAGAATGAACGGATATTTGATGTTTGCTCAGCGCTAGGACTTATGGGTAGAATAGGACTATTGAGTGGGAGTTTTCTTTGAGTTTGGTAGTGTGTCATGAATTGGGCTTCAAGGAATCCAGTATTCCACAGGTGTCAGAAGGCAGCCTACCCCAAACAGGTTCTGTGTTCAAAAAAATCTGGAAGACAGAGGTTACGCTCATCGCCGCAGGACTTTTCAGGGCCTTTAACATAACAATTCCCGTGTCACTGCGAATCTTCAGGAGGAGGATGTTTTTCCTAGAGCATATTTAACCACTGATACACTGTTGTCGTTGTTGTTGTTTATTTGCAAAGTATCACCCAGGACCAGAGTTTAAGAACACGATTTGGGGAAAGCTACTCAGTGTGAATAGTTAAACCTTATAGAAACCTTATAGGTGAATTGTAGCCTTTTGAAGTCCTCTCTGGGGCCGATTTTTATATATATTTTTGAATCCGAAGCTCATTTGGAGGTGGGGGGAAGGGAGAGAAGGAGGCGGGAAAGGGATTAAGTGCTTGCCGGGGAGAGGAGAGGGGGTGCGTGCTGAGGGCACGAGGCTGAAGAAGGTGAATGATGTGACGGTGGAGGCCGTGCCGGAGAAGTGAGCAGAGCGTAGCGGGCGTGTGGCCTCGCGTGGCGGTTTCTCCTGCCCCGGGGGTGTGCAGACGCGGGCCCAGCTCCCTGCAAAGTGGGATGCCACGTCTGTCCGAGTGTTATTACACGCCCTGCGTGTTACTGACGTAAGTCTGTTTTCAAATTAACTTTCTGTTGACGTGATGCTCAGATGAAAGAAATGTGTAAGAAATAATTGCATAAACAGAAAAAAGATACCGTTGGCGGATGAGAACTTTTGCTGGGAGTCAAAGAAAGGGAGTTGAGGGCTAGCGCTGCTTTAGGTGGGGAGTGGACAGTGTATCTTCGGACAGGTCTGGGCTGGGCTTGGTTAATGTCAGCCTGCGTG